TTTGCGCTTGGCCCGGTGATTCCGCTCTTTACATAGACCCTCTTGAGGATATGTTTAGGACTGCGCTGTACAGGGAAAGGGAGAGGTTTCGGACTGGGGTAATACTGCTGGGCCACATCCGAACAAAGGCTGGCTGTAGTCTATCGGATGGACGTCACCATCCCCGCCTCGTGTCTCGCGACGGCGGTCCGCGCGTGCCGTTTGACGCCCATAAACGCACACAGCCTTCACAGTCCTTCGCTCAGCGAGTGTCTCCTCTCGACCACCACCACCTGAAATAACGAATATATTCTTTAGCTCTTTGGAGCCGTGCGCAGCGCGCGTCTCACACGACTCGTAACACGGATACACACTATGACCATCTCGCTCTTCTCGCTGACGCCGCGGCGACTGCGCCCGTTCTGTACGAGCAGTCGCTTACTGTGCTCGCTGCCAGCGCCTTCTCTCCCCGGAATACGCGAGGAGAACCCATCGTCAGTGCGCTGTACCGACGGTCAAAGCCGCTACTCGTGCTGATAGGAGTGATGGATCACCGTGGACCAGCGCCGGTCAAGATTTATGCCATGTATGCTGTTCGTACGGGCCCGTACTGGTTGCACGCGGCGGGAAGCATCAATACGCAAGACATAGGGGCGTACCGACTGAGTTGTGGCGCTACGTTGTACGTCTTGCACGGTATTGTGAGACAGACATCGTCCTGGCCTCTCACTGATTACTGCATGCGGGTCCAAGCGACTAGGGATGGTCGATTGCCCGCACCGCGTGTTGATTGTCTTTTCTAGTCAATTCAATGCTCCCGGAGCTTTCAACCTGCCAGTGTAACTGAAGAGAACATAATAGCCCTTCTTACCGCGGCGCTAAATCGCGAACGGAGAATTGCGCGAAGGCCTACCGCTCCATCGTCTCAATAGGACCAAGGGAGGAACATGTTTGTCGGCGAGTCCCTATGATAGGGTCTGAGAGCATACGTACGGTACGTCCTGCATCTTATAGCCTCTTCCCCGTCAACTGATGATGTGGTGCGCAGGTATCACCAGTACGTGGACCAGCCACGAAGCGGGGCAATCGATGCGTTCCGAAAGGCTGTCTCCATGTGACCTACAGCCATACGCATGGTACGTTCTGTGTAGAACGGCGTCTTCCTGAGGCTGATGATGGCGGTACAGATGCTACACCAGGCTAGCGACGAACCGTCACCATCTTGATAATCATTGTGTATCGCCAACCGTCCACGCTTCAACCCAAGGACTGATTGCACAGCACTCGTGACGCCTTGTCCCTATATCTCGCAATCTAACACCGGGGTATCCTGGCTTTCGAACACCATTCAATGTGCAGCATCATCCTTTCATCCGCACTGCACGCTTGACCGTCGCTAGCTCCGCAGGCGAACGTGCACGCCCATTCGTGCTGACAAGAGCAACTCGTTCGCGTGCGATGGTCGCACAGACGGCAGACGTACTCGATGCTATCACGTGAAACCACCAACGACACACTTTTCTACCGTCTACATCTTGTTCGTTGGACCAAAAATACTTTGCGGCTACGCCTTCTTCGTCGCTCAGGTAGCATATATGAGGTTTGGGTGGAACCTGCAAGAAGCATCGATTACTCGCTTTTCCTACCATGGCTGCCGTCGATCCGACATACCCTCTCTACCCTATTGTTTGCTTCATGTCTTCAGCGATGCTACTCCTTGTTTTTTTGACAAGCTTCATCCGGCAAAGCTGGAACCTTGGTGTCGCGTTTCTGTGTTTCTGGCTTTTTGGGGAGACCCTCGGTCAAGGTGTCAACGCTATCATATGGTCTGATAACGCCGACATCAAACTATATGTTTATTGTGATATATGTGAGTGGTTTCAACAATATCGCAGGCGATGATGGTAAGCTCAATATATGAGCATGGTGTCAGTTTCGCGTCTCACCATGATCGCGTCGATTGTCAAGCCTATGGCGACCTTGATCATATCGCGCCGGTTATATCTAATCGCCCGCCTGCAATCCGTAGAACCCCCCAACCAAGCTATGGTGCGATATAGTACCTGGATGGCCACGCTTTCTCCGAGCTGAGCGCCGTCCCAGAGACGCAAAGAACTCGCGACAGAGTGGACTCTTGGTTTAGTGATTCCTCTCGTTGTTGCAGGGCCCCTCTGTGAGTCACAACGATGCGTCGATGTTCATCACGTATGCTGAGCTCGCTGTAAGACTACATAGTTCAGCAGCTTCGATTTGAGGTCGATGAGGGCTTTGGATGTGAGAACTCTGTCGACGGTTCAATCCTCGAAATATTGCTTATCGATTCATGGAATGTAATTCCTCCCCTGTTATCTATTACCATCTACTATCGTGCGTTGATTTTCTGAGTTGGTTGCTCTCAGACCTCCTAACACGTGTGGGCCACTCCAGCTCATGTCGCTCGACTCTTCTATCGCCAAAGTCGGGACATCAACCACTTCCTACAGAGTAACGATTCTGTGTCCCGGACAAACTACTTTCGCATACTCGCTCTTGCGAGCATTGATAGTCTACTCACTTTGCCAATAGGCATCGCGACTATCGTCTTGGATGTGGAACAGACCTTGTCTGTCGGTCCCATGCCATTCTACTTCGGTTGGACCTACGATCACACGGATTGGCAACCGGAAGGCTTCTCCTATGCAGATACAGTGGCGCAAGGGACTTCTACCGTAGCACAGATCTACTTCATCCAGTGGATATCACCTATCCTCGCATTCGTCATCTTCGCCCTCTTCGGCGTCACCTCGGAAGCCCGGGCATCGTACTGGCGCATCATCTGCACCATCGGCGGCTGGTTCGGCTGGAAACCAACTCCCCGCGCGCGCAGGCCGCGTTCTCCGCTGGGGGAGATCGAGTTCGGCGAGCGGCCGGCTCAGAACTCTATGTCGCTCGGTCTCGAGTGCGTTGCCTCGCCTTGTTCTCACCAGGATATCAACTGATCAGACGACGCAGTTCAAATCCGAGCTTCATCAATCGCAACGCGCAGGTGCAGGAGCGCACGCCGGGCGAGGTGGAGAGTGGCGCGGACAAGGAGATCGAAGAGGTCCGTCGGAGCGCCGACGGCGCAGTGTGAGTGTTCTTTTGGCCTACGCGAGTGCTGTGGCTTATCCCGAGTTCTTCATCTAGTAGAGATGCTGAGCATCAGTCTGGATATCAGGAGTCGCACGGTGCCGAAGCGGTAGACGCCTCGAGCGCCGTGTGAGCGGCGGCCCACTTCCGCGCGCGCGCATTCCGACCTCCGACTTGGCGCGGCGTCATACGCGCAACTCTCGATCTTTTACTTGATTCATCGTTTGTTCACGTATGCCCGTCCTCTATTGTCGTTTGTAGTCCTTCCGAATGTCTCGTCTAGTGTGATATCGATATGATAGTGTACATCATATATGTTTAATAAGCCTTGAGCACTCGCCAGTTTCAAGGGTGTTGTCGAGATAAATCATACTGGCGTATCGTTACTCTGCACAGCTGGCGATCGCTTCGGTTGAAGATCCCCACCTCGCGCGCGCAGCATCTGTCCACTGATGGGGGATATCGGGTTTGGCCTGCGGCCACCTCGAAGCTCCTTCAGGTCGATCGATCTTGTGAGCGTCGCAAGATGAAACGATGCAAGTTGGCCGACTGGCACAACGGTTATCCAGCGACACGACCTATGCAGTTCGCCACCATTATGCGAGCCAAGCATCTACTGAGCCGTCTAGCAGGAGGCGACTCTCAAGCCGACAGCGGACATCTTGAGCGACGACCTTTGACGACCCTTCAGTTGCAGCGTATGCTGTTCGTTGCTTCTTTCATAGTAGTGTCATGGCTTTCGTAGCGCATGCTGATCTGCGGTGCAGCAGGCTAGTGCAGAGTTCACGGGCCAAAGATGCATGTATTGGACTACTAGTGTGTACCTCCATGCCATCGTATCGTACTGAGCAGTAGGCTCACGGTGTGCGGTGAGCGGGGACGCTTCTGGGTAGTAGGTACTGATACGAACTGGCGCACATATACTCGGATATTCCACGGAGAAAACAGCGCGAACCTGGGAGGGCGACCGTCAACAATACGCACCGCGAAGAAAGACTTTCAGACACGTACCCTGCCAATTACTAGGCGAGTTCTTGAACGCATACTCGACCGCTCCAGCAGTCGTCGCAACGTGACCAGAACGCCACCCCACTCCTCCGCATCTCGTCCATCGTACGCGCCACAGAGCATATCGCGCCAACCAGGGTACCCGTATGCAGCTCCTGGTTCGAGTATGGCCGTGCTGACTGGGTCATTGTTCGTTGATTCGATCGAGCGCGCCCATGCGCTGAATACGGTCCTCTTCGTTCGTAGGAAAGGAGCCCGTGACTGAGATGGAAGAGGATAGGATGGGTGTGCCCGTATGAGCGTGCTGTGGCACGATACTGCATGGTGCGGGTGCAGGCATTGCGTCGCGTCCCTCGCGCACGGGCGGAGAAGGCTACCCCACTTTATCCTGCGCGTCCGCGATGGCCTCCGTAGGATCCTGAACGACCTCTTCCAGCCCCGCATCATGATTATGCGTCAAAACTCTCAACACGCCCTTCGTGAGCGACTCGTCCTGCCGGACCCGCACGAGCTTGACGCCGCCGGCTACGGGTTCATGCTATCCGCGTCGTCGTCCAGGGGGGTTGTCGGCGGATTAGAGTTCGTATTTGTAGAGGCCGACGAGTGCGCTGAAGATCGCGGGAGGAGAGACGGCGCCAGGCTGGTCGTCGGGTCGGGCGTCGTGGTCGTGAGTGTGAAGTCGAGAAAGACAGGGCCAAGAGAAGGACGGGCTCGGAGTAGCTCGGAGTGTCGTCCGCACGCGCGCGGAAGTGATGGGCCTGGCCCCTCCGACGGTCCGGGTTTTCCAACTTTGCGCTTGGCCCGGTATTTCCGCTCTTTACATAGGATCTTGAGAGGATATGTTTAGGACTGCGCTGTATGGGGAGCAGAGGAGGTTTCGGACTGGGATAATACCGTTGGGCCACATCCGAACAAAGGCTGGCTGTAGTCTATCGGATGGACGTCACCA